ATGGATGTGAAGGAGAGGATAAGTTATGCATGTTCAGATGAGGGTACATACACTCAGAACGTTCATAACTCATTTACTCGTTCACATGCATCAAAAGACAAAAATCGCACTTGTAGAAATTGCAGCAAATATTGCAAGGTGCTTTTAGGTGCACTTACTAACTGTGACCAAATTTCGTTTAATTTCGTTGAGTTGAGTGACTGATCTGTATAGATCGGTGGCTGTTGCCGGTAATCCCCCCAAATTTTTATGCTGGCGCAGATAGCTTTTTCGGGATGTATTTTTAGTTAGTTTAAATTGTTATTAATAACCAGTTGATGACTTGTAAAACGGAAGTAATTGTCATTGAAAAAACCGTATTGTAATGCAAATGATCAAATATTCAAATTGGAAAAAAAAATTTTCCTGATTGAATTTTTGCCCTAAAACATGAAATGGCAAGAAACAATCATTCAGGCTATCCAGTGAAGTGGTTTAAGGATCAAAATGCTGTAAGAAATGCTTACGAATGTGCTATTTGTTTGGAAGTTTTGAAAGATCCCGTCCAAGTCCGTGATTGTGGACATCAATTTTGTGCTCTCTGTATTGATGATATTCTCAAGTTAGTTTCACTTTCAGCTATTACTGTATCTATAACTATTCTTCAGTCTCTGATATTATACCGCATATTAAGTGAAGTAGATTAAAAATTTGAATTAATGCTGTTGTCCATATATATTTTAGCTTATAACACGTAAATTGCATTGGTGTGTTTCTGTGTAGACTACAACCTATACTTTATGTGCCAGTAGGCAGTGCTCAAGTCAAGTATTAGAACTGTTGGAGCGTTGACAATTGTTCGGCAAATTTTAATAAGCTACAACATGATATATTTATTTTCCAGGGTAAATCATCGTTGTCCATCATGCAGAATTGAAATATCAGATACGACGGTATGCTATCTGTTTATAAAATTATATTATATATAAGACATTGGCTTACATTAATAAATTTTAGGTTGTTTGTCAAATTGTCAGTGGTTGTTAAGTTTAATTAGTGACACTTGCTGGGGGCCTTACGAAAAATTCTTATTGGAACTCCTATGATCCTATAGGAATTTCAGACTGTTCGTATAGGATTTCCTTCAGGAAAATTTAATTTCATATAGGAATTGAATTATCATAGGAAATTCTATTCCTGTAGGCAGGTAAACTATATGCCTTTGCATTACAGACTGCATTCCATGTATTCCACACTGGATATCTCCAATGGGAGGTTAAGAAACTTGCTGGCGTGAGAATTTGCAATCTCACCGTGAGATTACAAATTATTAGCATTAACTTAAGTTTATGCCTATGTTAACATGTGTACTTATGGCATATCTTCAAAAATATATAGTTTACACTATCATATGTCTATTTTGACATGAAACCATGGTTTACTTGTTCTAATTACTAGATTTTTAAGGACAATGCTGCTAACCGATTGATTAAACAACTTGATGTCAACTGTTGCAATAAAGGATGTAGTTGGCAGGGACGCCTCGGTTCTTTACTACAGGTGCAGCATTTGTTGCTTTGCCTTAGTTAAATATATTCAAAAACTTAAATACTTAGTACTTACAGAATGCACAAAAGTTTATAAAATCAGAAATACCTATCTTGAACAAGTTTCTGATCAATAGTTTCTTGACTGATAATTAGCAACCAAAGTTTCGAAATGTTTCATAAATCCAACGTATCAAATAACTTAATCAGATGTTAAAGATTACTAATGGTTGATTAGTATCAGCTATCTTGAATATTTTTGTGTTTCTGGTGCATGTTGTGCACTCAGATGAAGATGCGTATGTTTGTGATGTTGTCTCTGATCCTGTCTCTGGCAAGCTGAAAAGTTTGCTTGACCGTGGTGGGAATCGAACCAGCGACCTCTGGTTTGCTAGCCCAATGCTCTACCAACTGAGCTACGAGGTCAAGTCGGTTCGGGTGGGTGAAATTTCGGAACTGAGTTGCCATGTGTGGACACACTCAGAGACAACATCACAAACATATAGTATCAGCTAAGTGCAAGAGTAGCGAACTACAATTTTCACTAAGTAGCCAGCAGTTTTTGACTACATTTTTAAAACAGTAGCTGTAGTTATAGCGAACTACATTTTGCCTAAAAGTAGCCAAGTAGTTGACTACTTTTCAAACAGCAAATCGCTATTCGCTACTTTTAAAAATTGTTAACAACTTGATAGAATAGCATGATATTGAGATACGGTTTGCTTAAAATCGATACTCAATAGTCAATTTGCACTCCTGAGCACTGTAGTGATTACAAAAATGTTGCTTTGTATTTACTGTTGCTACTCGTAAGTCTATTTGTTATAGGTTACATTACAGTCTGAGTTAGTTATAGATGCTCCAAATACAGTAAAACTAAAAAATATAGCGTAGGCGTAGCGAAATAGCGAAATAGTTCGCTACATTTTTTAAGCAGTAGCTATAGTCAGTAGCGAACTACTTTTGTTCAAAAGTAGCAGTAGTTGTAGCTGACTACATATTTTTGAAGTAGTTATAGCGAACTACAAAAATTTTGTAGTCAACCCATCCTTGGCTAAATGTCTGATTATTTTCATATTAATGGCTTATTTCTACTTACTGTATGCCCATATGTCTAGTGAAAACCAGGCTTTTATAGCAGGTGTATTTCAATCCAGGATCATCAGAATAGTTGCAACATTTTGAAATGCGGTGGTGATATTGTTCCGAATCAGTTGAAAGTAGAAGAACTTGAACAGCAAGTTGAAACTCTCAAGAAGAAAATTTCAACTTTGGAGAAGGTGACCATTCATGATTTATATTTTGCAGTTAGTGACCTTATTTTACATTTATTGTAAAATTAATGTTGTAAAATATTTTTAAAAATTCATTAATAATTATATTCACGAGAAAATACAAAAGAAATGAATGTTTAATCAATGTTTGTAAATCGGATAAAGATTTGTCCTGATTTACATAAACTTCAGCTTTGATTTTCTCGGCTTAGGCAATGTTTATTTTTAAAACATGAGCAGCCGATCTGAATCGACTAAAAACTTGTCGAAACCTTTGGAAGCTGGTAGAACTTACCTTCAAATGTGAATTTGAAGTTTGCGGTTACCGGTCTGGCGTATAAACGTCAATCTTAACCTCTCTAATAGCTTGATTTCTAAAGGCCACGTTGTTTTATACACTCTGTAGATCCTTGATTGTGTGATGAAACATCAAGAACATTACAATCTTCTATAGTTCTAACAGCGAAATTGCGCCCACCTTCGGTCTCTCCAATGTGTTTTTTAAGTCAAGCACCATTTGCTTGGCAATACTGCTTGCTGATTTAACCCACCAATCACGTGCCAAGTACCAACATCAGACAAATTAACATACAACCACAAATGCCGGTTAAAGACAATCGTAGCTGGAATTTCCGATCAGATCCTTTTCAAGTTCTGTATTGGTTCCAATATACACCCATACATATTAAAGAGCATGTTATTTGATGTTGAATAAATATAATCTATACGTTGTCTGTTATTAATTGTCTATAAACTGTAAAGCCAGATTACATGTTTTGTTGGACCTCTCATTTCAAGTTCTGTATTGGTTCCAATATACACCCATACATATTAAAGAGCATGTTATTTGATGTTGAATAAATATAATCTATACGTTGTCTGTTATTAATTGTCTATAAACTGTAAAGCCAGATTACATGTTTTGTTGGACCTCTCATTTCAAGTTCTGTATTGGTTCCAATATACACCCATACATATTAAAGAGCATGTTATTTGATGTTGAATAAATATAATCTATACGTTGTCTGTTATTAATTGTCTATAAACTGTAAAGCCAGATTACATGTTTTGTTGGACCTCTCATTTCAAGTTCTGTATTGGTTCCAATATACACCCATACATATTAAAGAGCATGTTATTTGATGTTGAATAAATATAATCTATACGTTGTCTGTTATTAATTGTCTATAAACTGTAAAGCCAGATTACATGTTTTGTTGGACCTCTCATTTCAAGTTCTGTATTGGTTCCAATATACACCCATACATATTAAAGAGCATGTTATTTGATGTTGAATAAATATAATCTATACGTTGTCTGTTATTAATTGTCTATAAACTGTAAAGCCAGATTACATGTTTTGTTGGACCTCTCATTTCAAGTTCTGTATTGGTTCCAATATACACCCATACATATTAAAGAGCATGTTATTTGATGTTGAATAAATATAATCTATACGTTGTCTGTTATTAATTGTCTATAAACTGTAAAGCCAGATTACATGTTTTGTTGGACCTCTCATTTTCATACGAAATTGTGTATAGGTTTCAAATCCGACCCAAGCCGTCATGATGCAAGGGCAACGTCAAGGTCCTTTTGACATAGCAGGTCATCCAATGGCAATGGCACCACGTTCAATGCGGCCAAACAGGGCAATGTACTCATCAGTACCTCCAGGACATTCGCCAATGCAAGGATATATTCAACAGCAGAATATGCAGTATCAAGTTGTGGGGCAGGTATAGGTCAAGTTTAATTGCGTCAGTGTGAGGAGGACAGTAACGTAACATCGTGACTCGTGAGAGATCAGAATGGACAGTGAATGGATTGTGAATGAACTGCCCGAGAATGAATAAAGACACTTTAATGATACTGATAGAAAAACTGATTTGTAAGCAGCACATAAAATACAGGGGTTCGATTCTCCAGAGCAGCTTGCACTTAAAGCATTACGTTTTTCCTGTAGGAACCTTGACAAATAACCCAATTGTGGGACACGGGTACATCAGAATGTTCAGCAAGCATACAAAATGCAAACGCATCCTCACAAAAAAATTGACATTTTTTAGTACTGCATTTTTTACTCAAAACTTTCATAACTAATCTTATCGTTCACATCTATTAGAAGACGAAAATTGCATTAGAAATCGCAGCAAAAATTGTAAACGGGATTATAGATTCCAAACAACTAGCTTGGGCACTGGTTAAAGATGCTGTAAACTCCGTAATGTTAACAAACGCTTTGTTTATATTTTGAACTGCTATATTTGTAAAATATGATATACAACTGAATATCTGACACTTTTCTGGTTCGCTATGCTTGTAAATGAATATAAACTCTATTTCGTTTCAAAAAAGTTCAAAAAATGCAAAATTTGGGCAATATGTTTATATTTGCGGGTCCCCCTTTGTTATCGGAACAGAACTGATGCGCAGAGCATCTTTCAAAATTAAAAATTGGTATAACCAGTACCAGTTGAAGGTCTGAGAAATGGTTGGCGTTTTTGTCCACTATTTATGGATCTTGCTAGTTTTTGTGCTAGGCTACTTGGATAGGGAAACCAGGCTTAAGAGTTGTGCTTTTCTTTAGGATCCTTATGGGCAACCAGTGATGAGACCTACATTCATTCCTAATGTCCAGCAAGCGTACCAAATGCCACCAACCACTGCACCATTTCAACCACAATATCATCCACAGCAACATCAATATTATAACCAAGGAATGCGGTCTCCTATGCGCTACGTGCAGCCTAACCAATCAATACAACCGCAACAGCTACCGCAGCCTTCTAACCCCACAATTCAAACGAATAATCTAACCAAACCTAAACGAAAACGAACTAGTAAAATTGTAATTCGAGACCCAAGAGACAATAAAGATGTCACAGAACAAATTCTTGCCCACAATAGTGCAGCAAACGGTCGTTCTGGAAGCACCCCTCCTTTGACAAATTCAATTGCTCAGACAGAGTCCTCAACCATCCAGGCACAGTTTGCTGCTCGGGTTGCAGCCCGTGTTGGAGGAGAGAAAGGCAAACAGGATAATGAGAAGAAAGCGGAAGAAACAGACAAGGATAAGGAACTTCAAGCACGAACAGACCAAGGATAACGAGAAGATAGAGGACGACAGGGACGTAGGAAAAGGAACAAGCAAATACAGACCCAACAGATGAAATAAAAACAGAAGTAAACTAGAGGGAACTCGTAGACTGTATACCTCCGCCAGCAAATTAAGTTTTATATCATGCATAAATTATACAATGGACTAATTACGTATTCAGTTTACTCTGCCCGGCAAAGAAAGACAAACTTTTCGGCTAATTTTTTATCCAATTTTCAATCCAATTTAACCAATATTTAATCAATTTGTCCTTGGGCCATCATTGGGTCTTGGGTGACATACACAGTCACAGAGACACCAACATAGCCATTATTTCTAGTCAAGGGGGGCGAAAAAATCTACCGAAAAAATTTACCCCGTGCTAAAATTCTAGAGTCGCGGTGAAGTGCCATTTTTAGCATTTGGGGGCTATTTTAATGCGTTTTAAGTACTATTTAAAAAACGAGCAGGAGTGTTTTATTAGGTTTAAAGCGGCGAATTTTTTCGCTGACCAATCACATTGCCAAGATTTGTTTTCGCTTCGCGTCGCGCGAAAAAATTGGCCTAGTGGAGAATTACGGGCCTTAGTTAGTTCCCTCAACATTTCTTACAAATCCTTCTATAATAGACTATATAGACTTTCGCGAGAACACACCGGACGCGATTCAACAACGCGACGCGATTTTTCGATTTTCGATTCGACCTATAACTTTGATCCTAATTTATATTTTCCAAATATTGCTCTCATTGGCTGTTTTATTAACTTTCAAAAACTAAAAAATCGCGTCGCGTTGTCGAATCGCGTCCGGTGTGTCTGCACCTTAAATGAATATGGTCCAACACCGCGATTCGTTTATTTGGTAATCGTTTATTTGGTAATAATAATCATACTGCTAAGGATAGGATTGTACAAATCGTAGGTGCAATTCACAGTTGGTCATGATCCGTCCGAATAGTGAAATGGTTTACGATCATTAGGCCAGGTTTGAACCTTGAACTAGGCTACCTTATAAAATAAGAACTTTATTTATATAACCTTAATTATTATTGTCTTGCCAAAATCTCGTCCAGTAACCGTTCCAATTTTTTATTGGTTCCTTTCAAACCTGCATCGACTTTTCTTGACCAATCGAAATACTCCTGTACTCGTTGTTCGGTCCAGTTCACTGGAGTCGCTTTTTCCAGGTCTCGAAGATTGTAAAGTTTATCTGCACTATCAGAGGAAACGTGTTTTCAGAAGAAGAAATGGGATAGAAGAAATTTGTGTGTTATGTAAATAGTTGAAATTCCTTGCTAATTGTGTTTTTTTATTTATGCTGGATAACTCTTACAGTTCTAAACTGTTTTCCCTATAGAGGTCAAGTATGAAGAATTAGTGAATCAGTCATTGCTCCAATGTTACGTACTGAACGGATTTCCAGTTTATGAAACCATAGAATACATACAACAAACTTTTAAGTAACAAAGCATTCGATAAGTTGTATGCCTAGTTACTATTGTTCTAGTTTGCGAAATCATAGAATAGAACAAAGCCAAAGGTAATTATATAACTTACCATTACTCATTAACTTGCATGCCTAACTTTTTTTAGTTTATAAAATAAAAAAAAAAAATATCAATGAAATTAGCATTGAAATTATTTATAAAACCATAAAAGTGAATCTCTCTTACGTTTGATCCCAACGCCTTTGTTCTATTCTACGCTAGAACAATAGTATCTAAGCATGTGGGTTATTTTTTGTGGGTCTAGATAGCAGACATGGAAAATAGTGGGATCTTGGATCTTGAGAATCTTGCCTTAGCGAGGGTGCAGTTGAAGTTGTTCAACATCAAATAAAGGTCCTCTATTTCGTGGCTTTGAAGTTTACCGGCTTCTAGCCGATCAAGTAGTGTGTATCGAATTGGATTGGAGGTTGACAATCGCCGTAATTTTGGTAATTTTTTAAAATTTAATCCGAAATTGTCTGACCAGAATCCAGTCCGATCCGAGTTTGTTAAAACTCTTTCTCGACAACCGGTTTCGTATTACATTTCGATTCAATTTTTCTAATATAAATATCTCGGCGAGTATTTACCCCCCTTTGAAATAAATGCCACCATTGAAATCCTCACAATATAACCTTTCGAACGGGG